ACCCTCATCCTCTCTGGAAGACCCTCAATGAGATGGACTGATACAGTCACTACAGCAGTGGACTCAAGTATGTCAGAGATTATGGGTGGGGATGGCACAGGATAGAACAGGGTACAGAACTACTATTCATACGGTCGCTGTGAGTTGCACTTAACTTGACGGCACTTAACAACCACAACAACATTGGTGCAATTACTGTGTCAATTGATCTCATTGAGGGGCTTCTCCCCCTTCGCTGACTTTCTACCTGTCCATGCATGATGTCCTTTTCCAAGGACCATCCCCACTTAACAACATGAGACAAAGCTTCACCATCCTTACCTCCAAGGAGCGTCCCAATTGCACTTGTTCAAGACCTAACAGTTCGATTTTTGACAGTCCATGGGATATTCAGGAATGTTTACAGTTATGTTCTCCTGTCCAGGTGGTCTGGTCAGTAGTCCCAGACCAGTTTTACTGGCCTTACCAATATTCCAGAAGCAGCTGGTGCCATTCATGTTATGAGAAGGTCTGACATTGTCCTGGTTAAGGGAAGCACATGTATTACTATCACTTAACTTTTCCAAGAAAATGTCTAGAAAAACAATTAAAAAAGAAAGGGCAACAAAAAGGGGAGGGGGAGCTCAGCCATAAATTTCTGGGGGCAAATAAGAAAAGGAAACAACAGGGTATCAAAAAGGACATTGAGGGATTTTAGTTTAATAAGAAAACTAGTATGACTACTGGTAAGAGAAAGCCCTTTGTGCCTAAACTTTTATAAAATGAGAAGCAACGATATCAGTCTAAGAGACTAAGATCCATTCCATGGTTTTCACAATTACTTGCCATGCATCAGAGAGCTGGACAATGACTAAGGATGACAGAAGGAGAATTGATGCCTTTGAGTTGTTGTGCTGGAGAAGAGTCTTGAATATACCATGGACCACCAAGAGAATAAATAGGTTGAACAAATAGGTTAGAGAAGGTGAACCCAAATATCTCCTTGGAGGCTAGGATTTTGAAGCTCCATCTCACATACTTTGGGTACATGGTCAGGAGGGACTGGTCCTTGGAAAAGGACATCATGTTTGGAAGGGTGGAGAGACAATGCAGGAGAGGAAGACTCCAGATTAGATGGGCTGATACAGTAACTAGGGCAATGGGGGTAGATGTGTCGGAGTCAGTAAGACTGGCTCAGGACAGGGCAGGGTTCAGAGCTTCTGTGGTTGCTAGGAGTAGCAGGCAACACATAACAACAACAATAGTGCATTATAAAAGGTTAATATTCTATTATTTTGTTGGTTGTATACTTGTTACTGGAAATCCATCTGCCATCTATTGCTGAAAACCCCCCAATCTTAGATGTAGGGGTTGGAGTGGAGAAAGCAGAGATTTTATACTAGAATATAAGGAAGCTCTGGTGGTCTCGTGGTAGGAAGCCGCACTGCAATTCCAAAGGCATATGGTTCAAATCCAGCAGTTGCTGTGCTGGAGAAGGATGGGTAGTCTCCTTCTATGCGATTTACTGCCATGGAAGACCCGGTGGAGGGTCAGCTATGAGTCAGTTCTAACTCAATGGCACCCAACAACAACATGTAAGAGTCAGAGAGTACGTTGTCAAGTGCAGTCACGTAGCCTATGACTCACAGTGACCCTATGACCAGCAGATCAAAATCTTGCCTGAGCCCACGTCATCCTCATGATCTCTGTCAAGCTCATAGAGGGCATATAAGCTTCCCAGGTTTGCCTCCCTATCTTGGAGACTCTGGGGGCTTACATAGAGGAAGGAGAAGTCAACTGAGAGTGACAAGTTTTTATAGTGTCTTCTCCTGTTCTAAGGAGTTTGTGTCTGTGGTTACGACCTGGACTAGTTGTTCAAGTTTTATCAACATTTCAAACGCAGCTGGAGCAAGACACATGCTGTGGCTGAAGGGGCATAACTTCGGGATTTAGAGTATAGGGATTTAGAAATGAAAAGGGCAACAAAAGGGCTTTAATTTGATAACTCTGTGAGACTAAAGGAAAGTCACTTTCTTCCTTAAGATATTTTAAAATAGTCCCATAAATAGGAATAACAAGCAAAAAATTAGTCCTTTATTGTTGTATATGTGCTATCAAGTCATAAGTGACTCATAGCAGACCCTCTAGTGGGTCAGAGGCTGTAAATAGCATGGGAGGACTCTGCTCATCTTTCTCTATCAAGAAGCAGCCGGTGGATTCGAACCACCTGTCTTTGGGTTGGCAGTGCAACTTCTTACCCACTAGGCTACCAAAGCTCCAGTTCTATATTGTTGTGTGTTGTCAAATTGGAACTGACCCATAGCTGACCCTCCAACAGATTTTCAGAGGCACTTTGTTGCATTGGAGGAGCCTGCCCAGCTTTCTCTCTTAGAGTAGCTGGTGGATTTCAACTGCGTACTTTGGGTTGCCAGAGCAACTCCTTACTATGAGGCCGCCAGAGCACCCTAGTCCTATGTTAGTCAGGCTATTACCATAAGATGTTAAGTTTTCAGTTTCTTTAGTGTAGGTTGCACACTCACCACATGAGTGGGTCGCATCACTCTAAACCTTGTGCAATGCTGTTTTAATCTGACACAGTATCAAATCTAGGGGTGGCTGTTCTCCATATCTTTAAGTCTTGCCTTACAAGAGTGGCTAAGGGACATACTCTCTAACACACATAGCTGGCATGGAAAACCTGACAGGCTGCCTCTGGAACATGTGCTCTTAGTCACTCCTTTACACAGCTTCATTGTACTACAGGGAAATGGCAGTTGCTCCTCTTTCCGCCCACTACCCAGTGGGACTAGGGTTCATTGGGGTGATTCATTTGTGATGCTCCTTTGGACAGTGACTAGGGATGATAGAAAGAGAGTTGATGCCTTTGAGCTGTGGTGTTGGAGAAGAGTGTTGGATATGCCATGGACTGCTAGGAGAACAAATAGGTTTGTCCTGGAGAGGGTGAAGCCAGAATGCTCCTTGGAGTCAAGTATTCTGAAGCTTCGTCTGACATACTTTGGGCATGTTGCAAGGAGGGACTGGTCCTTGGAGAGGGACATCATGTTTGGGAGAGTGGAGGGACGGCACAGGAGAGGAAGACCCTCGATGAGCTGGATCGATTCTGTGAGAGGAGTGGTGGGAATGAATGTGTTTGAGACTGCGGGGTTGGCACAGGACAGAGCGGCGTTTAGGGCTCTTGTACATAGGGTCACTATGAGTCGCAAGTGACTCGATGACACATAACAACATACAACAACAACTTGTGTATCTGGACATTTCGCCTCTCAGACCACGGGGCTTACTTTGAGCAGCCACAGTTCCTGCAAGGGTAGCAACCTGTTTCCGCAAGGGAGCACAAGAAAGAAAGTCAGTCTGGTTTTCTGAAAGAGAGGAAAAATGGTCTCTTTCCTTCCCCCATTCTTGTTCCTCAAGTCTTAGCATGTGATTGGCTAAGTATCAAGTGGAATCATGGTGACTCACAAAGACCCTCAGCACTTAGAAGCCATAACTGATGAAAATTGCAAACCATAGCCACTACTAACCTGGAATATGTCCGATCTGGCACTCCACAAGGTGAGTGCAAAGAGGAGGCTGGTATGATCCTTGGCTAGACTATTCAGCTAGCTCTTTCCTAGCCCATTAAAACCTCCCTGTGAAAACTTCTATGCAAGGAGTTAACTACAGTCATTGTATTTCAACAGGTCCACCAGGTTTGGAGTTGCGTGATTTTTTTTTGGCCTCTGGATCAAACCAAGAATTTAATTCCAGGTAGGATTCCCCACTCTTCCTCCATCTCTGGATGCAGTGTTGGCAGCTGGCTCTGAAACGACTGCCTTTCAAATGCCTGGCTCACATGTTCACATCACAAATTGGGACTGTAGCATAGAAATGTTGTCTGTTAGTAGCTATTTTTCTCATTTCACATTCTCTTTCAAGTCTTTGTTATAGAACGACCATATTTTTAACATGAAAGTTTGAGCCATGTTAAAGTATTATCTGTAAATAGGAAGTGGGTTTTTACAGGCATGTCAGAGGCAGAATGTGAGCTCAGGGATTTGTCATGTTAATAGCACTGTCCTTCTGAGAATCTAATGTAAGTATTAAGATGTGATAAAACATCTCCTCCATTCACTGAACCAACTGTGGTCAGTCTTACTCGTCAATTGAGAAAATCAGAGCATGGGGGTCTGTGATGGAGTTCCAGATCAGTCACTTCCATTCTTAAGTTACGAAGAAGGTTTAGCCATTCATGCTTCTTCTTTCCCATTATATAACCACGTAAAGACACTCTTAGTGATGTATTCCAGATCTAAAACAAAATAGAGAGGATGTAGATCTATCATTGTTGTTGTGTATCGCTGACCCTCCAGCTGATTTTCAGATGCAGTTAATCACATGGAGGAGATTGCCCCTCCATTTCTCACAGAGCAACTGGTGGATTTGAACCGCATGCCTTTGGGATTGCAGTGCAGCTTCTTACCACTAGGCCACCAGAGCTCCCTGGAGATCTATTATAAAAATATTTATTAACCAAAAGAAGTGTCATAATTCTTTTCTTAAGGGATTGGATTCTTCGAAAAACCAAGGAGTAAGCCAAGAAAGATATAACTGCATGATCTATAGATTTTGACATATATCTTTCAATATTACTTGGAAGCTCTGGTGATGCTGTGCTTAAAGACATCTGGCTGCTCACCCAAAGGTCGGTAGTTCAAATCCACCAGCCGCTGTGTAGAAAGAGGATGAGGTGGTCTGCTATCAGAAAAGGATTATACAGCTGTGGAAACCCTGTGGAACAGCTCTCCTCTGACCCACAAAGTCACTGTGAGTTGGTATCAACTCGATGGCAGTGGGTTGTTGTTGTTGTTCTAATAATTAACTAGTAAATGTAAACAAAATACTTAATTCACAGTGGTTATGAACATTACAAAAGACTTACAAGTGGTTGTTGCTACGTGCCATCAAGTTGCCTGTGACCCATAGCTCTGAAGCCTGCCCTGTTCTGAGCCAGTCACACCTACCCGCATTGTCCTCAATCTATTTCAACCAAGGTCTTCCTCTCCTGCGCTGTCCTTCCACCCTTTCAGGCATGATGTCCTTCTCCAAGGACCAGTCTCTCCTGGCCATGTGCCCAAAGTATGTGAGATAGCTTCAAAATCCTAGCCTCCAAGGAGCAGCTTGGTTTCACTCTCTCCAAGACAGACCTATTTGTTTTCTTGGCAGTCCATGGTATGTTCAAGACTCTTCTCCAGCACCACAATTTGAAGACATGGATTTTTCTTCTGTCATCCTTGGTCATTGTCCAGCTCTCTGATGCATAGCAAGCAATTGCGAAAACCATGGCCTGCATTAGGGAGCTCTGTTGGTCTAGTGGCAAGAAGCTGCACTGCAATCCTGAAGGCATGAAGTTCAAGGCCATCAGCCACTGCATGGAATGGAAAGATGGGCAATCTCTTCCCGTGTGATTAATTGCCTCTGGAAAATGTGCCGGAGGGTCAGCTACAGGTTGGTCTGACTCAACAGTACACACAACAATAACATGAACATTACAAAGTATTTACAAATAGAATTATCATAAAATACAGGGAAATCCACACACAATTTTGACAAGCTTTCTTTTAGCACACAAAAATAGAGAATGTATCTTTTTTTTTCCTGGAAAGGAAGACATACAGATAGTAAATAAGTATATGGAAAGATGCTCAATATTATATGTCATTTAAACCCATTGCCACAGAAATAATTTTCATTCTTAAGGGCTGCTCCATAGGCTTTCCAAGGCTGTCCTCATAACAGAATCTCATGTTTTTCTCCCCGGGAGCAGCTGTTGGGTTCGAACGTTTCAGTCAGAAGCTGGGCATTTCATTACTGTGCTACCAGGGCTCCTTGCTGTGGTGGTGTTAGGGGCCGGCAAGTCAGTTCTGATACATAACAACAACACTGAACAGTGCTGCACCACTTTCACCACCTTTGCTACGTTTGCGCCCATTGCTGCAGCTACTGTGTCAGTCTGTCTGACTTCCGGTTGGCCTTTTTCTTTTTTCACTGACCCTCCATTTCACAAAGCATGGTGTCCTTCTCCAGGGACTGGCCCCTGACAACATACTTAAATCATCTGAGTTCAAGTCTCATTATGTTCCCTTCCACGCACCAGTCTGGCTGCCATTTTTCCAAGACAGATTTAGTCATTCTCCCAGAAGCCCATGGTATCTTCAGTATTCATTGCCAACATTACAATTCAAAAGCACCAAGTGGTCCTTGTTGTCATGTACTGTCAGGTGAGAACTGACTTGTATCAGACTGTCCAGTGGATTTTCAAAGGCTATATATTCCACAGGAAGAAAATGCCCATCCTTCTCCCTTGGAGCAGCTGGTGGATTTGAACTGTCTGCCTTTGGGTTGGCAGCACAACTCCTTACCATAGGCCACCAGAGCTCCCTAACCTAGCCCTTAGGGAGTTGCCAAATAAAACAGCAAGACACTACTACAAATATACTATTGTTATGTGCGGTTGAGTAAGAACTGACTCATAGGTGAACCTCCAGTTGGTTTTCAGAGGCTGTAAATCATGGAAGAAGGCTGCCTCTCTTTCTCCTGCATAGCAACTAGTGAATTCGAACTGCTTGCCTTTGGGTTGGCAGTGTGACTCCTTACCCATCAGGCCATCAACTTCCTACACATATATTGTAGTTGTTATGTGCTACTGAGTTGAAACTGTCTCATAGCTGACCCTCAACTGGATTTTCAGAGGCTGTAAGTCGCACAGGAGGAGACTGTCCATCTTTCTCCTTTCTCCCTTGGAGCAGTCTGTTGGCAGATGAAGAGGCTATTGTGTGAACAGAGCAAGGGAACACTGCATGGTTTAAAATTAGGAAAGGTGTGCGTCAGAGTTTTATCTGTTCTCCATACCTATGTAATCTATATGCTGAGCAAAGTTTTTGAGAAGCTGGATTCTGTGAAGACAAATGTGGCATCAGGATTGGTGGAAGACTCCTCAATAATCTTCATTATGCCGACGATGTAATTTTGTTTGCTGAAAGTGAGAACGACCTAAAGTACCTGCTGCAGAATATCAACAACTGTAGCCTTCAATATCAATGTCAAGAAAACAAATATCCTTGCCACTGAACCAATAGGCAACATAATAATAGATGGAGGAAGGATTGAAACTGCCAATGACTTCATCTTACTTGGATCCACAACCAATACATTTGGTAACAGTGTCAGGAGATCAGGAGAGGTATTGCACTGGGAAGGTCTGTTGTCAGGGAAATTTCCAAGTCATTGAGGATCAATGTCAGTTTAAGGATTAATGTGCATCTGATTCAGGCCATAGTCATTTTAGTCACTTGCTATTCATCAGATGTATACAGCTGTATACATCTATAATAAAGATGACAGAAGAAGAATTGATGCTTTGGACTGTGGTGTTGGAGAGAAGAACTAAATATCCCATGGACTGCCAAAGAACAAACAAGTTTGTCTTAGAGCAAATGCAACCAGGGTGCTTCTTGGAGGCAAGGATGGTGAAACTTCATCTCACATATTTTGAGCATGTTGTTAGGAGGGAACATTCTTTGTAAAGGGACATCATACTTGGAAAGGTTGAGGGTTAGTGAAAGAGAGGAAGACCCTCAGCCAGATGGATTGGCATGGTGAATACAGCCAATGTATTCAAGTGTGTCAAGGTTGATAAGGACAGCCCAGGCCAGGCCAGGGTTCAAGTCTGTTGTTCAAAGAGTCACTATGAGTTGTACTCGACTCTATGGCACCTACCAACAATAATATTTTAAAAACTGACACCACTAACTGTTGGCAAGCAAGTGGGGTAAAAGGAATTTATACCCATTGCTAGTGAGAATGCTAAATGGAACAGCTCCTTTAGAGCACAGTCTGGCAGTTTCCTACAAAGCTAAGCAAAAGCTTACATATTGAGCTAGCAATGGTGCTCCTGGCAGTAAACCAAATAATTGTAAATTTTTGTCCACACAAAAACTTGACAGGAATTTTACAGTGGCTTTATTCATAATTGCCCCAAATTGGAAGCGACAAAGAGGCCCTTCAATAGTGAATGGATATTATTCAATGAAGCTACCAAAACACATGGATAAACCTTAAATGCATATTGCTAATTGGCAAAGGCATGCCTATATGATTCCAACTGTATAACATGCTGAAAAAGACAAAAGTATAAATTTTTATATAAAAAGGCACAGCAATAATTTCAGCAATTGTTACAGGATTTGGGGAGGCAGGTACTGAACAGATAAATCTCAGAGCACTTTAGGGGTAGCAAAGCCATTCAAAGCATATGTCAACAATGTAATCGTACAACACAGTGAACTGTATCACTAAGTAAGGAGCTTTGAAGGAAGGATGGTGAAATTTAGTCTTATGTATTTGGGGCATGTTGTCAGAAAAGGTCAGTTTTCCTTCAAAAAAGGCATCATGATAGGGAAAGATGGAAGGTTAGATAACGTGAGGACGGTTGACACAATGGCTGTAACAACGGGCTTGAGAAAATCAGAGATTGTGATGATGGCACAGGATAGCGCAAGGTTCAGATCTACTGTTTTATAGAATCACTATGAGTGGTAGTCTACTTGATGGACCTACCAAGAGGGAGCAATATGATAGCGTAGTGGTAAGGAGCTACCCTGCCAACCCAAAAGCGCTCAGTTCTAGTCCTCTACCTGCTCTGTGGATTTATTACCTCCAAAAACCCACTGGAGGGTCAGCTATGAGTGGGTTCTGGTAGGACACACAACAACAACAACAACAACAACAACAACAACAACAATGATGTGTCAATTCAACTATTAGAACCAGAGATCATGTGGCTGGTATTTATCCAAAGAAATGAAAAATCATGTCTATGTAAAAACTTGCACAGGAATGTTTATAGCAACTTTGTTCTGTAATGCAAGATGTTAATTAACAGCAGAGACTGGGGGTGGGGGGCAGAAAGGACGGGTGGGCAGTAACTCCTTTTCTGCGTAGTTCTTTCCTGAATGTAAAACTACTCTACAAAACAAGGTGTATTTTTAAAAAAGAAACCTATCATCTATAAATAGAATATTTTTATTGTTATGTGCCCTGGAGTCGGGATCAACTCCTAGCTGATCCTTCAGTTGAGTTTTCAGAGGCTGTAAATCACATGGGAGGAGTACATCGCACAGGAGATTGCTCCTCATTTTACCACTGTACAACTAGTGGATTCGAATTACATGCCTTTGTGTTGGCAGCGCAAATCCTTACCACTAGGCTACCAGAGCTCCCTTATAGTGACAATAATGGTAATGTATCATCTTATTGCAATATATGTGGATACAGGGAACTAGTGAATTGCTATTGTGATTGTAAACACAAAATGGGTTAGAGACCAAAAGAAATTTGACTAGTTCAGCTTTGGTGGCTTAGTGGTAAGAAGCTGTGCTGCAATCCCAAAGGCACGCAGTTCAAATCCACCAGTTGCTCCATGGAGAAGGATGGACAATCAACTATGAGTCGGCCCCAACTCCATGGCACACAACCAAAATTGATACATATTCTCACAAGAATACAGCATGGTAGTAGTTGTGGAAGAAGCAAGAAGGACCTAGAAATGGCTCAGAATTACCGGGAACCATTCCTCTGGCTGTAGCGAGGTTCCTGAGATTCCTCATCAGTCACGCGAGAAGACTCCCTACAAACCCAAAGAGACGCCAGCATCACTTGGCTAGGCTCCAAGAAGAAGATAGCGGGCATGCGTAGTGAGCACCTGTCACTGTATCTACAAAGTTATACAGTTGGCCAAGGGGCAAAATATCGCTGCGCCTGGAGCAAGTGGGCTTCCGCTGCCAAGGGACCGGCCACAATGGGACCGGCTAAGCTTCCAGCTTTTAAGTCTTGTTCGCACCCCAGCACATCAGGAGCGAGAGAGCGCTCGGAGCGCCCGCCCGCGGGGTCGCTCCTGATTGGCTGGCTGAGAGGAAGAAGATAGTCCGCTGATTGTGTTTCGCAGGACGCCTCCGGAAATGCTTTCCCT